AAATTGCAGAGAGGAGACAATGGCAATAGGATTATTATATGAGCGAGTATTTGGATAGAAAACAAACGATGATTTTAAAAATAATTTTATAATATACAAAATAAATATGTAAGAGGGGTTTTATTTTGATTTGAATAAAAATATTTTAAAAAAACACTTTCAGGAGAAACCAATATCTTGAGGAATGAGGGGGAGAAAAGAGGAACTGGACGGTTAACAAGGACAGCCTTAATTATAGTTTTGGGACTTCATCATTCAATGTCACAATGGGTACTCTTTTGTCACAATAAAATAAAAGTAATTTACACCTCAAAAATGGTACAATTCATCACCTAAATCCATGTGATAATTTCAGAACTCCAGATGTGTTCTAAAATTTGTTTTCCCTCAGCAAATTATCTGACAAATTCTATGCAAATATGTGCTCTCGCAGCCTGCCATTTCAAATAATGAAAAGGTGACAGAACAAGAAAACATTGAAATCAGCGTTCTGTATTGCAGAGTTGATTTGGATATTAACTATAAGCACCAGTTCTTTTCCCATCAGATTATGAGCTGGTAGTTTACTCTCACATTCATTTTTCTTAAAATTCTTGCAATAAATCACTTTTTGGAAATTCTTAAAAATATATTTTCTCACGTAAGGGGGAGCTTTGCATTTTTTTTAAAAAAGAAATGATGCCGGCGAAAACTTAACCCTAGTCATTGACAAGCTGTTATTTATTCTGTTTTAACAATCCAAAGCCCGTTGAGCATTTTTTTTTCATCGGGGGGAAAGCAGAGAATTTTACTTACTATCTCATGCATAATACTGTGGACCACGCAGTGGAACCCACAAAGAACAGATATTCACCAAAACGTGGGCCTATGGTTCTTAAATGCTGTGGGCCCAGATGATGAATTAGAGGACTGTTCATTTCTGTACGGAAGGATCTGCTGAAGGCCCATTTCCTGGAAAGTTAAAGAGAACTCTTTCTACTTCTGGTCCAATCTCGAAGAAAGCTCCAAGCTCTGCATCCTCCATTTCTTTCATTCAGATGGAAACGGCCCAGACTACGCATGGGCGCAACCGAACAAACAGAATCAATTGTAGTTGTTGTACTAACAAGAGTTAGGCCTAGTAGAAGAGGCTAATCTCTCATAATGTGAAAAACTAAGATTTGAATCTCCGTTGGGAGAGAGTTGTCCACATTTAATGTCTGACAGTGCTTCAAATAAGATTGTTTCCAATAGGAGGATACCTATGTTTTAGCCAAAAAAAAAATTACAGGTGTTGTGATAGTGTTATTGATAGATAATTTTGTGGGTATCTTTGTAAATACTTTTTAAGTTTTAAAGCATGCTTTGATCCTGAAAAACTTTTCAGACTCAACTTTCAGTAGCATCAAAGCCACTAATATACATGTTTATCCACGTAAAATTTTACAATCATAGAACTTGACTATATATAAAATATTAAATAAGTTAATGGATGTCAAAAATAGAAAAAGAAAAGGAAATATATCCATAATTTTATTTATTTTATTCCATTCATTACATTTAAGACATAATTTAACTTAGCTAACTTCTCTATTCATAATGTAAGTCGCTTCTAGAATAATGATTTGGTTCAAAATGTAAATGATTTGAAGAGTAATTCATAATTATTTGTCAAATCTGTTCATGCAATTAATAGTTAAATGTAACTTCTCATATCTCTCTCTTTCTTTCAAACCTCATTTAATATGAGTAAAGCTGAAAAAAATACTTTCAATTTGAGACAAATTTAATGAGCTAATGATCATTTTTCAGTTCTAATGAATTTGTTAAAGTGCTTATACTGTGAAGCAGAAGCAGGTAAAGTACGGATCATCAGCCCAACAGAAAAAAACCGTGAAACAATGGAGGCTGAGCCTAACTGTTGGGACTTGGTAGTCCTTATGAAGGCTTGATCCACAGAATCCATGGCCTAGTCATACCCCCTTTGTTTTTTTTGGGCACATACTCATGCCCCAATTTCAAAGCTCATTTATGAGCTATCCATTACACTATTTTAAACGGGCCTATCAGAATTAAATGGGTCCATCCCATCATGATTTCCGACCTGACTAAACCTAACATGAAGACATGAAGTATTAGCTTCAACCAATAAGGGTTGGTCCAAGTGGTAAGCGGCTTGGTACTGCTTAAGTGAGGTCTTGAGTTCGAGTCTCAGCGTATTCACCCACCACAGCCAAGTGCGTGACGTGGGTCGGATCCAGATGTAGTCAGAGTAAAGCTCCGGTGAACTGGGTGCCAAAAAACTCACCCTAAAGTTGTAGAGGAACTTTATACCAAAGAGTGAGGGGAAAAAAAAAAGCTTTTACCGGTGACGGATGTGAAGCATCAAATGCACCCTGAACTCCCTTTTTCTTCCCCTTAGCTCTCCCACGACACAGAGAGGCGCACGGTTAATGAAGATGTGATTGCGCTTATCTGTTCTTGAAGTTGCACTGAGAATGATTGAGGTCCTTACTTCTTGGTATATATTTATCATATTCGTGGCTTCATTCCTTTTCCATTATTTGGCTTTTGGGCAAGGTTAGGAGTAAGAATGAAAGCCTCATCCATCTTTCACCCTCCTTTCTAGTTGTGTCTGAGTGTTTTTTTTCAATGAACAATTAATTCAGTCTACTGACTATCGTTATTATGTCATCTATCTAACCTATTTTTTATTGAGCGTCAGTATCAAGGCCTCCTCTTTCCGAGCATTCTTGAGCAGCACGGATCGTCCGAAAACATTCCATTTTTGGGGAGCTGTTGCCAACTGGGGATTTGCTGCTGCACTGATCATTTATTTATTTGTTTGATTTTAGATGGGAGGCCATAAAGAATGTTCTTGTTATAGAGGATTACAAGTTCTCCTGTCATGCCCTCATGACCAAGTTTGTAAAGCAGTTTTATTACAGGGGCTTGCAAACATGAATAAGCCTCCAGAAAGGATCTCTGCTGACATGACAGCAGGTTGAAACTATTTGTATTCCTGAGAATCTGGAATTGGACAAGACTTAAATGGGGTTCCTTTTGGTGTTTGTTATCGAGTTTTCCGAAGAAAGTGAAATAAATGGAGGACATTTATAGAGCTAATTATGTAGTACTTCTACAAATATCCACTGTTATGCTTTTACAATAAAATATGACAGCAAATACCTAAAAAAATGAACCTAATTTTTGGTCTTTGTTCATTGATTAAGTCTTCCCTCTTGCCTGTGTTGGTGCTACAGAAATGTGTGTGTATTCATCTTTGTTCATGGGATTTGCTTGGATCGTTCAACCACGCAACTATCTGCAACTTGCTTGGCACGCTTCAAATGAGACTGTGCGGCTATACCAATTCTCCTGCCGGGTAAAGGGCAACGAGTAAGCTGCTGAGCATGTGATTGAGTCAGAACAACTCTATCGTGTCCAATCTTTTGTCTCTTCGAATGACAAAATTTTGGTGCAATTTTTAAGAGGGTCTGTTATCAAGTTCTTCAATATGATTAGGTTATGAGATGTGAAAGAATTTGGTTGATGAGTCAACCACTAGGTTACAGTCCAGAAAACTATCCGTATATTATAGCTCTATTAAAAAATCCTGCGTACAATTATGGTTGCGCTTCCATTTCTAAGTTGGCATCTATGGAAGTGTTGCTCCATTAAGGTACTTGTCAAAAAGGAAGAAGCTGCATCCAAGTAAATTGATGCTGATTTTGCTGTTACTATGCACATGCCAATGAAATACTCTGCCCAAGGGAGGGAATTAAGTAATGCAGCATTTTGATTTTGATCGTTCAAATGCAAGAATGATTTGATTATATGCTGTTTTCCATTTAGTGTATATTCTACCTCAAATGATTACTCAAAGTTCTCAGGTATAAGCTATGAAATAACTTTGATTGCAGATTTTGTTCAATAGGTCAAAGCCTAGATAATTTGAATATTTGTTTAACTCACCTGACAGTGTTATTTTTATTTTTATTTTTTTCACAATTTGTTATGCAACAATCACTCTTTCACATTCTTCCAAACCATATACTGTATCAATAAAGTGCCTGTGCCCTGTGGGGCTGGGTGATTAATGATTGGGTTCTTCACTGATATCACATGATTTCTAGCTAAGGATGTGGTTGCTTTAACATAAGAAACCAAACATACACTAGTAAAGATTAAAATTGTTCTTATTCACATCAAGAATAACTTAGTGGCATTTTTTAACACTTAGAATATATCAAATTTTTCTTATAAGTAGTTTGCTCAGGCAATTAGGGATATTTCAGTGTTTAGTTCAGTTCAATTTGAATTAGAAATAAACTGAATCAAATTAGTTGATTTTATAAAATAAAGGATCTACTTCTTGTGAAGTTAATATAACTCAAGTTTCAAGTAGTTTCGATTCATGTTTATTTCTTATTTAATTTATGATTGTTTTACAAGCTATTGTTTTTAATTCAATCATACACCACCACGCCATTAACTAGTATGCTAAATAAAATGAATTCATTAATCATCATTTATTTATTATTCATGAACTTGGCATTAATATAAAACTAATCATCTATCACTATTGTTTATTATTCAGTCTTTTTCTAAATATTTGAACACTCTATGTTTTCATGCTATGTGTATTTTTTTTAATAATGTAAATATTTTTGTGCAATTGCCGATAAACATTTCCAACTATTTATTATAAATGTCAAATTGAAATTTATATAAAAAGTCATAACTTCTTTTTCATAACAAAGGCATCAGCAAGAACTAAATGAAAGTCAAAGAACTAACTTCAGTTTATTTTTGGGAGGAATGGCTCTTCATTCTACTTGTCAAGCCTAAGCTTACATATTATGATAGTTGCATGTTGATAGTTTTTTATATGTAAAGTTTAGATCTATTCCATTCAAATTTAATGGTGATTCACTCAATTTGGCCTTGTTTTGAATCCACCGTCTTCTTAATAACATATCACCACCCTCTCTATTCCATTCTTCTTCCTCAGATTCAGTCCTCATACTTCTGTGCACAAGATAATAAGGTAAACCTCTTCTCTTTTAAGTGGATTTCGTCACACCCCTCACATCAAAGTTTCATCTCATTGAGAACTGGGATTGTGTTTTGGCCTCGGTTTTCTGTCTGTCTGTGTGATAGATATATATATATATATATATTTGCCCAAGTTTTCTGTTGATTTATGGGATTGTTGGGTCATTTGTTATTAGCAGTAGTTCCCCATTTTTCTTTGTTCCTTGCAATCCATGCAACGCCCTGTGACTTGGGTGGATTCGCCAACATTTTCTGGTTGTTGAAGCTATTTTCCCCCGGGTCAAGGTTGGTTGAAGCTCAACAAGTCGTGTTGTCGTCTGAGTACTTTGTATGAGAAATTAAGCTATAAGAATTGGTGGGTGAAAAATCTTGGGAGGTTATAACATCGGAATCAGATTCCTAGGAAATCCGATTAGATTTTTTTTTTTGGATGCTACTTTGCATATATTGGTTCGAATGACAGGTGGCTAAATTATTTTGTCCTTACAGTTGGAGCAGCCAGAGCGTCAGTATCAAGTGAAATATGGCTTACTTCCGAGCATTCTGGAACAGTCCAGTTGGTCCAAAAACAACACACTTCTGGGGACCTGTTGCCAACCTTGGATTTGTGGTTGCAGTACGTTTCTCTTCACTTTGACTCGTTCCTCTTTTTTTTTTTTTTGGGATGATCAGGTTGGTAATGGTAAAGCTGTTTCATTGCAGGGGTTGGCAGACATGAATAAACCTCCTCAAATGATCTCTGCCAACATGACATCAGGTCGAACATTTCTGTATTCCTCAGAATTTGGAATTGGACAACACTCTTGTGCAAAACTTCTTCCGTATTTGCTTTGCCATCAAGTTTTCTGATAGCGCCAAGATATTTTTGTTGTGATATTCAACAATCTGTGGCATTTTACACTTTTTTATTTTTTTAAAATAAGAGCGCGAAAGTGATTTAATGAAGGAGATAATGTGGTGCAGTAATGTGCATATACTCTGCACTGTATATGAGATTTGCATGGATGGTGAGACCACGCAACTATCTGCTGCTTGCTTGTCATGCTTCCAATGACACTGTCCAACTCTACCAATTCTGCCGCTGGGCAAACGCCAGGGGGTGAGAAGCTAGCTTCTGATTCAATCACCTAATTTATTTTAATTATTATATAACGATAAGTGAAAATTAATCACGTTTTATATTCACGGACGTGATGATAAGCCGACATGATGTTTTAATTTTAAGCAAACAGCAAATAGTTGTGATCTCACATTCTTTATTTGGCATTTAAAGGTGTTTTTCTCTCCATAGGTACTCGTCAGAGAAGGAGGATGAAGCTGTCTCGAAGCAAACTGAAGCTGATTTTGCACGTAATCAATAGAATATTAACTGATTGTTCAAAACTCATTCCACACCACCGTTAGACGGAACCAACATCTTTTGTGTCCCCCCCCCCCCCCGGGGCTTTTCTATATGTTATAAAACGATCACCCTTTGGGAGAATTATGATATGTCAGCCGGCCTATGTAACTCCAAAATTCGATCCTAAAGTTCAGTCAAATTAAACATCATAATAAAAAAACTTGCTATTTACCAAATAAGATTAATATATTGCTCAAGTTCCGTCATTTAACAATTGGATTGAATTAAAATTAAATTTTTAAGCAAAGTTGTTTACTCAGAGCACTAATCATTTAACACTATTCCTAGCCATACATGCAAGAAAAGATGATACCTAAATTTAGGTAATTCTTTTTTCTTTTTACCTTGAAAGTTTGGTAAATCAGAACATCGTATATTTCAAATTGAATTATAACCTGTAACAATTTAAAATACTACCATGCACATTGATTGCATTTCTCTCCTATAAAGCAACCTTACGGAGGCAGTACAGCAAATTTCAACTAAAGCTGAAAAGATTTTCATTTAACATCGGTAAAAGGAAGGCGCAGGGAATACAAGGCAATACAAAATATAGATGACAGCAAATTACATGAACAGAATTCGACTACCCTGCACAATTACTATTACATGCTTGAGCCTAAGGAATCACCCTAGATTTAAAATACAACATCATCTGCCCGAACCGCATATACCACATTTCCACCAAAGGGTACTCAGTCACATGTTTCTAGAGGATTCCAGAAGAAACCGTCAATAATCCGAGTCAAGTAAAGAGGTATGTTGTTTATCGTTTCTCTTCTCTGCTTTGAACCACACAAAATGTAGACTTGTCAACGGCAAATGATTGGCAACGCCTTCAAAACCATAATGCATGAACATACGAATTGATAACAAAACATAATTTTTGCAAGAGGTCCATAAACAATATTGTTGGCACAAGAAAAGTTCATTGCAGAAATAATTGCTGAGCCTTCATATGATATCATTACTCCGGGTTCAAAGCTCAATCACATCTATATTCTGTCAAAAAATTTTCACATCATGATTTCAAGTGATCAATACATGGAAGCTGATGACGGTCTTTACAATGGTAACCTAAATAAAATACATATGCATGAAAAAGAAAGCCTTCATAATATTGTAAGCTAAGGAACAAAGCCACTATGGACCATGAACCTTCATTTGACATGTCAATACGTCAATAGTTCACTTCAATAACATGCCTACTTGTCGCCTGACCACATCTCGAGTCAGCCATAAACTTGCCTTCTTATCAAGAATGAGGCTGAGATGTTATGAAGACCATATAGGGTAACAAGTTAGCAACTTACTCCTTTACAAAGCTCTAATGAAGGGCATCAGAAATAATGAATACAGTTTTCACCTTATCAAGTTAACCAGATTGGAACACAGTTTTAAAAAAACAAAAGAACATGAAGGTAGGAAAAGAATCTGAGCGAAATAGCATCTTTGAGTACATACAAGGAACACCATGCTGCTCAATTTAACATTAATGTGCAAACAATCCATGTAAGAATATGGCTTATATAACCCCATAGAGATTATAGGGTTTTAACAAATTGTTGTACACTGGGAAGGGATTACCTTTCTTGGTGCTAACCAAAAGGGGCCCAAGTGGTAGTCAATAAATTAAGAAATTACCACATACAAAATAAAGTGTGGTAATTAACCCGAATGCAGAAAAAGAAGGGCAATTTATCTTGGCAAAATAAACAAGGGGGGATAAAGGATTAACAAGACAACTATGTCCCAAACAAGAAATTCAAGAAAATTAGTTACAGAGATAGTTGACACAGTCAAGGCAAAAATGAAGTGTTTACATACGTACGGAAAAGGAAAATTAGAGAACAAGAGGGCATATAGGTAGGAGAAAATAGAGATCAGACTTGAATCTGGGCATGCAGCGCTGTTGTGGGTATTCCCCCTTTTTTAATACAGCTGTAGTAGGTATTCTTAAGGGGTGTTTGGATGGCATGAGAAGTGTTTCTAAAAAGCACTTTTCCGCAAATCGAGATAAATTCCTTCACATATTTATTTCGTATACTGTAAAATCACTTCTGAAACTATAGCTTGATTTCCATCCAAACACCTCCTAATTAATAGTAGTCTAGAAATTATCAAGACCTCAGCTGTAATCTTTTGTGAATTGACTTCTTGTCCGGAGGATTTTGCACGTATGATGCACAAATTTCCACAGGTCAAGCACCAATGGTGTTGCACAGTACAACATGCTATGGCAATGCACCATGTGGCTGCCGCACGTCCTGGCATGGTGTTAATAACTATATTTGAGTAAAATATAGCAGGTTCATATCACTGCTGATCCGCAGTGTTGTGAGGTCCTCATTAAATACAAAGAGACGAATGTTGGATGAAAATAATACTGGATCGGAAAATCATTGTATTTGATACAATGAGCAGGGTTCAATGGTTCATCATTAACCAGTTAACCAGGATGGAATGACAGAGGAGAAAACACAAATTGAACCACCAGACCATGCTAGAAAGTCCCATCTCAACAATGATATACATAAATTTGTGCACACTGCTCACTACTTGCAAAGCCATTTAACTCTAGGGTCATGCTCTTGTTGTCAATAGACCATGGCTTGTCACCTAAGAAAAAGCAAACCCGAGGATGCAACAGGATAACAACATTGTCAACTGGATGGGAATATTGTTACTATGAATTACGTCCCTATTTCATTGTTAATCAACTAATTGTGGGATGCCAAGAAAAGGCAAAACCAAAATTTACGGTGGTCCTTGAATTCCTAATTGGACTGTCTCAGAAAATATTTCTCGTGTAACTTGAACGTTAGTCGGGTTAATGCTTTCCATCAATGCAAAGGATATAAGCTCACGAAGTATAACAATGCTGACATGAAGTAAACGGCTCCTTTCTATTCTTCAGTGGATGAATTGTTCAATCATCAAAGGAGATTGCTGAAGTTTGAAAATTTAAGAACTGAAATACAAAGAAATAAAGTTACCTGACACAAAAAAGAAATGGTCGGCAGAAATGATATAGACAGTTATTCCGGGACAGCAGACTTCAGAATTTTGTATCTCAACTTCCTATTATGGTTTTCCTGTGAGATAATAAAGAAAAACGATCACCATTAGTTATTGCATCATGTTTTATAGCTTCTGATTAGACCCAAACAACATCAAGAAATGGAGATGTCTAAATCTTGATGTATTCATAAAGCAACAAATCTAATCCGTGCTAAGTAATTATTTGCGCTCTATAAGTGGGGTTACAATTTTTGGAACCCACATTACAAAAATATTATTAAATAGAAGTCACAATTGATTATATTCCTAAAACAATAAAACCAACAATTGAACGTATTAGGTCAGGGAGTATAATGAGGAAACCCGCATGCAATTTCAATCATCTAAAACCTAAAGCACTCGGAACATCACTGTATTTGTTCTGCAGCTACAACAAAACTCACCTGCTCAAGAACCCTGGCAGAACTCCTTTCCACTTGTCTGGCCAAATTTTCAATTTTAACAAGCATTTTCTCATACAAATCCTCCAAGCCAGAAGTATAACTCGCTGCTTCTGACCCCACCAATCGATTCAAGCTCCCAACGTCAAATCCGTCTGCACCCATATCCAGCTCTCTCTGATCCTTAGAAAACTTCTTCATTTGATTCAAAATCCTCTCATCCCGGTCCTCGCTCATTGGCGAGTTCCGAAAATCGCAAGCCAATGCTGGAAAGGGGGCAATAGGGCTAAAAGAACCATAATGCCCGCGAAACGCAGGCCCAATGTTAACTATATCCATTGATTTAGGGTCGAAAGACTCGGTACCTCTGCGAAATTGGTAAGCCCGGTACTCATGAGTATGGATGGATTGGTCCGATAAGGGCGACGCTAAAAGTAAAAACACACAAGGATTAAAATTGGTAGACCCTGGTGCATTCTTAACAGGAAAAGCGAGCTGCGTCATGGAGGAAAGAGAAACAGCGACAGCGAATTCTCGCATTGATGGCCGGGGGTGGGTTTTACGGCGACCGGAGAACCAACCGATGAGGGAGGGGTGGTGGTTGAGAACAGGGTCACTGAGAAGGCGGCGAAGTGAGTGAAGTTCGACGGCACCAGTGGAGTCATAGAAGCTATTGATAGTGCCGGGGCAGAGGAAACCGGTGATGGTGGCGACAAGGGTGGAGGATTCGGAGGCGGAGTCGTCGGAGAGTGTGGATGGGGTGACGTAGGTGACGTGGCCGAAGAGGAGGCCGTCGACGGCGCCGGGGGAGGTAGAGAAGCGTTGAATGATGGAGGCCAAGGTTGGGCCTGAGATTGAAATCTTGTGCAAAGGAAGCTCATCCATGTCGGCGGCAAGAGAAGATCAGGGAGCCACACCTACAAATGTCTCTCGGGAAGCAACGCCGCGTCGCACCGCATCCCACAGCGGCCAAAATTTTGGGGCAAAGGACAATCGATTTCAATGAATTGAATGCTCAATTACAGCAACGCTGGCTCTGATAATTTCTTTCCCTCCTTCTTTCTCTCTTTATGTTTTTCTTTATTTCTTTTTTTTAATTTTCAAGAAATTCACTCCGATAATTTCATTCATGTTAAATTGCTGTTTTGTGTAGTTAAAAAATTAAATTAGGTGAGTTAAATGTAAAAATATATCAGGGCCCTGACGTTCACTAATGGAATTCACACCTATGTCCACGCTGGTTAAAATTAAAGGAATAATAATAAATGGAGTCCATATGCTTGTAGCTCTTCAGCAAAAACTTCCAGGATAAAAACAGATATTGACACACTTAACAGCATGTCAAATATTAATTACTGGCCCCTTAATTTTTAATGCATATTCTATTATTCTAAACAAATAATAATCATTTCCTTCAATTAGGTGTGTATGGTTGTTAATAAAGCTAATTATCAAATAAGCATTGATCGAGAAAAATTATCGGAAAATAATAAAATTCAATTGATCATGCACCCAAAGTAAAACAAAAAAAAATTCAAGTAATAATTTAGTTTTAATTGTCTTTAGCAATTTGATTTATTTTTGCAATATTATGTGAATGAACAACCAGTAAAGAATTTCAGGTCTAAAACCCAGCAGAGAATATTAAATAATAGTATATAACGTTTTTTTTTTTATGGTGACTACACATAACGTTATACATTTTTGTCATCACCAAAGTGTAGTAACGTGGTCCCTGCTTTGTAATTTACACCTGATTTAAAGTGAATATTGTAAATTTAACTTTATGACAGATTATATAAATAAAATATTTGTATAGCTTATAATATGGAACAAAAAATTAATATGGTGCTCAAGCTTTGAATGATTCATGTAAGTATCATTTCAGGTAAAAATATGTGTGTGTCTGTGTGAGCATCACTATTGTCTATAATTGGTCATGATTTTCTTATTTTTAGGTTTTATCATTAATTAGCTCATTTTTCATATATTATTTGTAAAATTAATTATATTATTTATAACTCATCTTCAATATATTGTACTATCAATTTTATGTTAGTAGACCCATTTTTCTATGCGTTAAAAGAAATTTAAAGAATATATACATCATTCATCATTTAAAAATAATACTGTTTCTTTGGGACTCAATTCAATTAAAAGAACTAAAAATGTGTTCTAAGAAGATTAAATAATTTCCAAACATTTTAAAAAATAATTAAATTAGTTATTTATAACAAATATGTTTGTTTAATAATAATTATAATCTTGTGAGCCAAAATAAATTGAATTCTTTGATTTAAAATCAAAACAGACCATGAACTAACTTTATATTTAGGATGGGAATATTATGACTCGCTTTTTTTTTGGGGGGGGGGGGAGCCGTAGGTACAAATGCATGCATGAGCTTATTATTTGAGCACTAAACACAAACTGTGTTCAGAACGGAACAGAACAGCCAACTTGTTCATGGGTTGAAGTCTACAAAGAATATAATGGCAAATTTAACTTATTTTATTGTGATCCCATTACGTGCAGAGAGAAAAGATATTTTTTGTCCTATTTATAGGACACTCACAATTTTTTGTATTAACTTTATTTACATAATTTATAATATATATTAAATAGGATAAAAATTAAAAAATTGTTAAACTTTAAATAAGAGTTAATAAAATTTAAATTTTTTTTAATCGGTATAAAATATATCAGAAGTGGTTCATAAACAGGGTAAGAGCACTGTACTGTTTGCTTTATCGATCTGAGAAATGAGACGTCGGTCTCTCTAAACAACATGGAACATCTCAACTCAACGTGCACAGAAGGACGAGGGTGGGAATATTCTCGGAAACAAGTACAAACAATAAATCCTTCTCTTCTGTACAATCCAGAATCTACTACGATAAATCGAAAAACTCAACATCGAATAAACCTATTGAAGAAACATCACAAATCCTACACCATACAAAACAAAAACAAAAATCAAGATGTCAAATCCATGCAAATCCCATGCTATTCCCCTATACATGTGTGTGTGGATGTATATAAGAGTGTTGATATTGGTGAAAAAGATTTCTTCTACGCTCAATTCTTTCCCAGAAAAATCAACTAAAGCATCAAGTGAAAGTTCCACTACCCCCAATCTATCGTGGAGGGGCCGGAGATGCGGCGGTGGCGGCAATAGCAGCGTTAACTGCCGCCGCGCCACCTACGAAAGCGACATACCTATTATGCTGCGAGCTCTCCTGTGCTTCCATGAACATATCTTCCGGCATCCTCAGGGCGCCATGAATGCAAACAGCAGCCACACCTACCATCACCGACGACACCAGAATCGACCCAACACTGGTTAGAAACACAACACACAGGCTCAAACCAGAGAGCAGGACCAAGGTTTCAAAATCGGTGAAGATTCGACCGAAAAGAACCAGAGGCTGATCGGAGGGTCGGAAGACGTAGAGGAAGACCCAGGCGGCGAGAAGACCCAGGAGGATCAGGAGAGAGAAAGGGTTTGTAAGGAGAGAAACCGCGAGAGCGAGAGCGCCGATGGCATAATAATTGATGCGGAAGTAGGAGAAGTTCTTGCGGATGCGGAAGGTGGCTTCGGATAAGGTCTCGGGTTTAGAGAATGCGGTACGGTCGAGGAGTTCGGCCCAGGGACGGCGCTGGGAGAGGCTGTGGCGGAGGGAATCGGAGGCTTTGGAGATGAAGGCACGTAGTGGGGGCTGAACTTCAATGACAGGGTTGCCGGCTCCGGCGGATTGGGTACTGGTAATGGGGAGGACGGACGGGGCTGAAGCGGCCATTTAGGATGGGAACGAATCAAGAGGGAGAGACAGAGGGAAAAATGAAATGGGAATGAAGAAGAGAAATTGACAGTTGAGAAAATGGTATTTGAAGCGGGAGAGGGGAGAAGAGAGAGAGAGAGGGGAAAGAGGGACGGCGATTGGGAGGTAAGGGTTTAACGTAAGAAATTAGAAAAGTCGTTTCACAGAATTTTGTGTTGTGAGATGAGGAAGGAATTCAAAGGGACGTACGATGATAGATACTCCTTGAAGGAAAGCGCGGAAAGAAAACGGCAAACGCCGATCAGTTGCAAGGTCGCTGCTATTCCCTCCTCCCTTTTCTCGTGAGTTTACTCCTCCCACTATTTTTTTTTTTTGGGTTTTCTAATTTCTTACAATCTATTCCTGACTCTATATTTATTCAATAAATTAATGGTGGCTTATTCCTGAAATCTTCTTGACTTGTAATATTGTTTCCACTTTCCACCCCCAGTTTTTCAATTTAATCCTTTAATTATTTTTTATATGCCAAGTTTGAAAGAAGTCTGCGTTAAGAATAGTAAGATATCTTTATAAATTATCAATATCACCAATGTCATTATTAGCTAACATAATACAAAGGGAAAATCACAAAAAAGACCGTCAAAATAAAAAATTATAAATAGGAAACTATTACAATATTAGTATGTGTTTTGATAATAATAGTGTGTGTTTTAATAACAATTTTTGTGAACGGGTTCTTGTGTACAATTTTTTAATTTTAGCGGTCTTTTTTTGTGTGATTTTTTTAATACAAACGAGGGTCACTTTTTGTTAGTCTTGCTCAGGTGTTCTCTTATATTAACATTGAGTTGCTTGGTTACTTTAGAACATTACGTGGGTATGAAAAGCAACATGAGCTGGTTATATCTGCCATTCTCTTTCTCCTGTTTGGGCACATCCAACACCTCCGCGTTGATATCTGTCTGGGAATCTCTCTTTCTGGACCAAAATCAAATCTCTTGCTAAAATAATAATTCCATATAGTACAATCAATCGGAACAATCGGAGATTTAAGAAGCCACTCTGACAGAAAAAGCCCATTCATTTTATATCTTCAACACATTCGCCAGCCTGTAAGGCACAGCTGAGCTAGTCCCTTATAATTGACAACCATTATTGTCCATGTTCTGCCTTTGCCTGGACTCCACCGCCATAATAGACCCCATTCAATCCACAGCTAGGCATCAGGATTATTAATAATTAATCATGTAAATTGAAACAGAGATAGAATAGCAACAACAGAAATGAAGCCGGCGGCGGAAAGCTTAATTAATAAAAGTATCGAGACGATTAAAATTTTTTTGTCGATAATACAAACTTTAGTTCGTTGAGTTTGGTTTTATTTTGGTTTTGATTTCTTAAGTTTGGAACTATAGATTTTAGTCTCTCAAACTTCGAATTACTCAAGTTTCTTTTCATGTTGTTATAATCCAATAAAAACTTTAACCTTTTTGTCTTTTGAAGAATCAAAACCTATAATTAGAAACTTGAGAGACCAAAACCAAAACAAAAACAAATTTGAAGGGCTAAAAATTATATTAACTCTTGTTTTTTTTGGGGTGTTTTGCAACATGCAAGCAAGGGGTCAAATACAGCTACAGGTAATCGGATTTAAGAGCATCGATTTCCTTTGGATAATGTTTCGAAGATTGGATCCTTGTGCTCAGAGCATGAATAGTGATCATTTTGTTTGTTAGTTTTGTTAGAATGTACTTCGGTGTTTAGGGGAAAGAATGAGAGAGAATGGAAATTAAAACAAAGTAGTATCGTTAATCTTTCCCTCTCCTTGGATCACTGACTTCATGGCTATTGCCAGAAAAGGTGAATACTATACTTAGTGTTATTTCCATACACAATGGCGAAAACGTGCGAGGATCAAATTTCAAACGCAAAGAAGACGACAACGGAAGAAAAGAGCAACTAGTGTACTTTTGTTTTATTAACAAAACACTACCCATACTATTACTTTGCTTTTTTCCACTATATGTTATCATACTTACAGCGTATCAAGCACATCCTCCACAACCATACGTAGATAAAGATGAACATATGATATAGAATTTTTAAAAAGCCACAACCAACGTCCATGATGCCATTCATTTCAAATTCATGCAAAGCACACTGCTTAGTTATTCTAGAGTAAGATTCATATTTTCTTCATTTTCCATCACGCTTCCTCCCAAAGTCACCATTCATGATCAGAAAGTCGGAGTACTCATGACATGACATTTACAAACAGCGAATATATCCAACACTGAATCCCCCACAGCCAAAGTAAAATGGAATTAGAATGTAGATCCATTCCACCCAAAATCGGAACCCTGCACAACAAAAAAGCACCGTCAATCAGCAAGAAACCAATGTAGATTAAATGGACAGATATAAGTTGGATTATCAAGCACGCAAGATTTTTTTTAGTTGATGAAGTTCATGATGAGTATACATGCTTGTATGTTTGGTTGTCTGTTCACGATGGACTTAAGTTATCTCTTTTGAAGATGAGTCAACTACGTACAAGGTATAGGGCTTCAGCTCCCCATCATAAGCATCAGATTTAATTTTAGAGCTTACGTGAATCACAGGTTCTCCAATCTCATAATCTATGGGCCAAAAAAGAATCTCACAATCTAACTTTTAGAGTCGGGTTCTCCCGGAGTATTAATGTTATCGGAGCTTTTAGCATCCATCCAAATGGGACTGTGGATTCTAAATTGGAAGTATGGAATTATAAAAGGACTGCAACCTTGTTAGTTAATTTTTGAGACATGACTCTCCCAAAAGGGTAGATAACCAGGTCAGCCTAAGGTTTTTGTCACCAAGAACAGCAGAAAGGAGCTACACTAAGTCTTGAACAGTAAAGATTTATTTTAAGTAATCTAGTACTGGGGAAAAGCATGAAAATATTGCATATTCTTGACATATATTCACCTAAAGAAAGATGAAGAGTGAAATAAGGAAAGAGCAACAGAGTAATTCTTCCTATATTTTCAGGACAACTTGACGTTATAGGTAAACTTGCCTTCGAGCCATAGAATTTCAAGAAGAACCGTGACTTGGGAATAGATAACTTGGTTTCAAGAATTGAGGAAATTGCAGCACTAAGCTTCTTGTTCTCGTCGGGGCCAAGACCACCAATGGACACCAGTTCACCATAAGCAGCTGGCTGTTCATTCCCACCAAAAGATATGGGCACCGATCCTTTCAGGACAACCATTACATACTGCAAATACAAGAAAGAGCACAATATAAAGACATAAGGACACTCTAAAACAGGAGAAAACAAGTGCCTATGTATATAGGTGTGTCAGCAAAATAGAAACATCATTCACCAAAGTATAAAGAGTCATTTTGTTTATCTAAAACATCAGGTTTCTGGATCTTCCCAAAAGCATTCTTCACACTCAAGAAAAATGATCAGTTTGATAAAGTTCAAATTCGGTGAGATCATCATCACTAGGAAACTTCACAGATAGAAGGCGTAAATTTAAACTCAAGAATTCCGAATCATACCTAGAAATTAAGCCAAAAAAAAATTCAAAATACCTTGCAACTTAGATGCCTCCAGATGTAGGAATAGTAACATGACAAACTTTATAATATTTAATCAAGGAATTTACAACTTCATAAAAAGCCTCGTGAAAATTTTCAGATGTGAAATTAATCAAATTATATATAGACCCTTCAAGAAATATTCACCAGATAAATTATCAAGAGTCGGGAAATACACCAAAGCTTGACAAAATATCCGACATACCTAAAATTCCATAGAGCCTTATGAGAATTACTGAACAAAGTCTCTTGTTTGAGATAACAGTATAATCTCTGATAAAGGGGTAATTCCCATGAAACCAAATTAATAATTACCACTTAGCAAACGAAGAAAACAGATAGACGACCATCTATCCCAGCAGAAGCGGGAACGAAATGTACCAATTTAGTGATTTACGAACTTACAGCAAAGATAGCAAGAACCGAAACTCCTAAATCATGCTTGAAAAAACGGAAAAAAAAAAAGAATAGGAACACTAGACAAGAAAATTGCCGGGGGGGTGTAGAAACGTCGGGAAATGAGGATGGAAATGAACAGAGGAATGGAGGACGACCGTACGGCCTCAGGTTTGCCGATAAGCTTGGCGAGGGAGGAGGTGGCCTCGGAGAGAATGGCGGAGGTGTCGACGCCGTCGAGGCTAACGTTAGTGGAGAGGTTTAAGCACGGCATATTTCTTCACTCTTTCACCCTTTGCAACCCGTAGCTTCCTCCGATTGACGATGGCGCAAAACCAACTCTACTCCAGCCAGCTTTATAAACGGATAAAAAAATATCTCCAAAAAAGTCAATGAATTTTTTTCGTGATAGGACTCTCAGCACATTAACGCACTAGAGGAGAAACAGGGAGACCGGAGTAGTGGTTGAGTCTGTTTGCACCGTAGTGGTTGAGTCTGTTTGCACCTTTTTAAGAGAGCTGAATGAGTCTTTTAGATTTTATTGATTTTATTAATGATTTACTAGTTGAATAAGGGGACCCCAAGTCAATGAATTTTTTTTGCCAGCAAAATGTCAACGAAACCTTAAACTAACTTACTAGACCGTCAAGGGGCAAAAAGTTATCAGGTCAAAATGAAAAAAAAAAAAAAAAAATTAAATCAATTAGTATCACGTATAAAATAAACTATTTTGACACATCATCTATGAATGAGTTTATTTTTGTTGGTGAATTATGAGTTGACCTTTAATTAAAATAAAGTTTGAATTACTTCATTTTTTTTTTCACCGAGGTTATATCTCCAATTAAATCCGTTGTTGTTTAGCACAATTAATCAATAATATGGCTGATGTTAATGATAAAAAGCTGTATAGATTAATTTTATAAATGCTTTTATTAAAAGAAACATAAAGAAAAATTAAAATAGTTTCCAACTATAATATTAGAATAATGAAATTTTGTTCGTGTGATTATCTAACGTTTCCTTGATGAGGTAGGAGACAATTTGATGATATAACTTTTTGTCGATGAATCCTATTCGAGATATTATCAGACACTAAATATAGAGTATCTCTCTCAATAAAAGTTTAAACCTTGATTTGTCACGTTACGATAAACTAATTTTTTTTTTGTTACACTCAACTTCCGCAACTTAAAAATTAAACTTGACCAATTCCGTAAATAAAATGTTTCGAATGGACCGGTAAGGAGATATATATATATATATATATATATATATATATATTTATGGCCCTAATAATCCAGTGAGTCCATTTGAACCATCCAAAGTAAAGATGGGTTCAGAATGGAGGGGCAGTTAGATGCTAACCCTGGTCGTTTTGTGCTCTGGATTAAGCTTACTTTGTCTCAGTTTCACTCCTGAAACTTAATCGCTGGACATCTTTCTTATGCTACAAGTTTTTTCAACAGTTTCTTTTAGAACTTGTCCTCGTGATTTTCTCCTTTTGCTTATGTAATTTATGTTTTAGATACGTATCGCCGTTCAATTCCCATTTCATTTTTTTTTCACACATAAGTATATTTTTATTAGAGATTTTGTTGTGTGCTAAATGTAAACATCTTTCTCAATAAGAATTCAAATATTAATTTACAATAAGAGACTGACTTCTTTCATTAGCTTCCTTTTAACCCATTTCATTTTGACTCCTCATGTGACTGCTTTGTACATGTTCTGGACTTGGGCCGTAGCCTCCTCTTAACCCAATTCTTCTGAGTTCATAACAGTCTTTTAAAAAAAAAGAGTGAAATTAAAATCTGAATCTGTAAAGTACTAGCTCTGTGCATATGTATTTATATAATTATCATTCAATTAATAATCTACATACTGTGAATATACTTGAGCACTTCAACAACTGTACTCCATTCTCAACAATCAATATGGGCATGCCTGCTGGTGGACCAGGACCACCCACTATCCTAATTAATTCGATTAACAAATTTTCTCCCAAACACTAGGATGGCCAACCACCCTATGACGACTTGGCCAATATGTATTTTGTATGAGGACAAAATGTCTATTTTTTCAAATATATGGTCTGATTTTTGTTGTGATCAAAATCTTAAAAAGTTAGGCTAAATTTGAATTAATTAATCCATCAACATAAATATTACTACCTCTAGTCCTTAATATAATACTTCATTTAACATTTATTTTGGTCCTAAATATAAACCCCAATCCCTTTTCTCTAATATTTATGTATTTTTTTTCAAAATTGTCCTTCTAATAATGGTAGTTCTAACCAACACTCTTGATTAACAAGGATATTTTAGGAAAGACAACACCTATTTATTACAAATAACTAACTTAACTTATTTTCTTAATCTCATCAAATTAGTCAACGGGCTCTTATAATTAGAACCGGAGGTAGTATATTCCCCAGTAGCTTTACAAAATTGATTCATGTAATTGAGAAACTGGAGGAATTGAACATGAAGTTGCAAATATGTAATGAAACAAATAGGAGGAGTACAAAATATGACTTGATTGATCATTACTAGAAAGTGATCAATGGAAAGGGTTGTTGGTCATAATGGAGGATTGTGAATTAGAGTTTAGAGACACTGCGAAAGACAGTAGTATCGAAGACCTTAAGGAAGAAGCGAGTTCTGGGGACACAAATCTTGTCCTCCAAAATGGAACCCAGCGTAGCAATGAGCTTCCTCTTCACTTCTGAGTTGATTCCTCCCATTGACACTATTTCTGCGTATGCCGCTGCCTCTTTGTTCCCTTCAAACGATATTGGCACTGACCCCTTCAACACCACCATCACAAACTGCATTTTTAATCATCAATTCATTATTACTCAGCACCTTATCTTTTCAATTTTACATGCTCCAGATTTTAACTCATAACAATCCTCCCTAATCATCTAATCATATTATTATACTAATTGCTTGAGCCACATTAGAAGACAGTCCCTTGTATATATCGCATCTCTTTTTAGTGTCACGGACATTATTAGTACATCTATCAAATACGTGGCGAATACACGATATCATCATTATGTGTGGATCAAATTCCTGTACTATATTCAGCGTGCAAATTAGTCAAATTCAGCTGCCCGTTATTAGAAGCATTCTGTGAAAATTAACCAAGTTTTGAAGTGATTTGATCTCCGTGTAAGATCTTTATTCTTTTAATGTGACGGTGTACAATATATTACTTACGATATTCATGTCTTATATGTATTAAACTGATGCTGCATCTCTGAAGTACTACTAATATTCTAAACATGAATAATTAATATGATGGTGTCAACCAGACAAATACCTCTTCTAACACAAATGCTATTAATTAAATATCGATGATGATGATGATCGACCAACCGAAGAATATATTGGTCATATAATGTAATAGAGAATACTATTAATTTGAATCATGGTCATCATTCACTCGTTATCCTTACTGTTGGAGATAATCCCAAACAGCTCATTATGGTGCTTTTAAAAGAAAATTAAAAGGGGCCTCAAACTCAATGAAAATATATAGACAACTGACTCACTCGCTATGCATTAAATAATGTAATCCGAATAACAGTGGGAAAAAGGATCAAGTGGTGCACTAGTTAGTTAGTGCTCCTGATTGATGTGCAATTTGCAGAAGCAGTACAGAGTCCATTTATCTTTGTGATAGAGGAAAAGAAAGAAGTACGGAAGAAATTTTGGAAGGATACTGCCCACTTGATACTTTAAAGTTTAAATATTTTCAACCCGTATCTAAGTATCTATCAGTTGTTGTTTTCTTCTGCACGGTTCAATGAACTTACTTTTCCCATATATACTGTTTATTTGTACAATCACGACTTTATTTTACATTAATCATAGTTTCTCAATCATTATTCCATTATTTTATTTTCAACCTTAGACTAAATAACATGTAGACTCTAGACTAGCTGCTGAAAACTTACGCTGTTTGATTTGATAATCAGACGCATGAAGAAATATTCCTAACACAAAATCAATAGTTAACGATAGTATGATCCGTCGTCTGATCCAAAGCTTCCAGAAAATAATCAAAGGATTCATATCTATGACCAAATAGTATATAATAGCATATCAATTCGGTCAACGCAGAACTGTGCAGAAGGTAAGTGTAGAGAGAGTGATATTATATTTCTAAATGGCTAAGTAATCTCTTTCCTGAAAAGCAAATCCATGTTTCCAGGGAATAATCAAAGAATTCATATCTGTGGGTATATAGGATATTCCTGGAAGTCCGACGAAAAGAAACTTAAATAATGCCAACTTAATTTGAGCCCCAATAAGAATTTCACAGGAACTGTAAATAGATTGGGCCAAATCTGATAAGCTTGAAAAGCACGAACACCTAAGAAGCATTAAGAAAGAGAAGAGAGGAAGATGAATAGAGAGAGAGAGACCTGTTTGGGTTTTCCGATGATGGAAGAGACAGCAGAAGTAGCTTCAGAAAAGATGGGATCGGTGTCAATTTGATCCAAGTTAACGTTGGTGGTGATGTAAAGGCAAGGCATGTTGCTGGAATGTGATTTCTAGTTGATTTGTTTCTTTTATTCTGATACAAAGAAAGAGAGGACTCTTCATAAAATATGCCCATCATTCCATTGCTATTTATAAGCCAACACTGCATGTTGCCCCCCTCCTAAGCTTTTGACACGACACTACCTTATCCCACTATTTATTTTTTTTTCAATATATATTTTTATTATCATAGCTTTTTGGAAAAATTATAAAAAAATCTTTAAAATAGAAAAATTGTAAATAAGGACCCATTATAATATTAGTATTAGTTTTGATAATAATTAATAAGCAGATGATAACAATTTTTATGAATGGGTTCTTGTATGTATTTTTTTTTAAATTTTTGAGTATTTTTTACGATTTTTCTGGGTTTTTATATCTTTTTCAAGAACTAATAGAATATAGATAACTTTGAGTACATGTATGTGCATTAATTAAAGTTAATGCATTTTTTATTTCTCATGATTAATTATGGCCATGCATACACATCTGATCTAAATGAAATATATCTCCTTTGATAACATAAATTAATGGGAAAAAATTAATTATTTACTCCATTTAGCTGAGACTTTAGACTCATTTAAAACTCATTGATTTGAAGTAACTTTTACTTCCTATATTTTTAACTCTACTATGATTAATTCAATCCATGAACAAAAACATTAAATTTTTCATATTGTCTATGCATCTCTTGGAATGTGCACAGGATGCACTTCTAATTTAAACTTTCAAGATTAGGGTAAGATGGTGGGTATTTTATAAAATTATAATGATTTTAAAACTATTCAAATACCTAAGTGATTTAGATAAGATGTATTTCATGTACTATTTTCGCTCCTAAATATAAAAACCAATTAAAAATTTAATTTGGTATTAAATGTGAGAGTTCATTTTGTTTTCTATATTTATTTATTTATTTTAAAATAATTCCCATAGTAATTGCACAACCTAAAAAAATTTACATTCTAATACGTATGATTGACAAGAATATTTTAAAAAAAAACAGTATCCATTTATTAGAAATAATTAATTTAACTAATTTTTTTAATATTTATAATTAAGTTATATATCTTTTATACGCAACCACAGGTATTATATTTTTAAAAAGAATGCTAGAGATCCAACACCAATTAACGTCCAAGGTATATAAGTAGGATGTATGTATGATTCTACTTTAGTGTAGAGCCTGGTTAAGAAGATATCTCCATATCATTTAATGTCAGCAAATTTTCTACATTTAAGATTGAAAAGTAGCCCGACTTCTTAATCCTTGCTAGCTGTTTAAATATCTTAAAAATACTTTTTGAGGACTTAGTTGTGATTCAAAATAAATTTTGTGATCACTAATTACGGATTTTAAAACGTGTACTCAACCAATGTTTAACTTATATTGAAGTGATCATACAACATTTGTCACGTGGTGAGGTGATTGATGAGATTGTACTACGCCTGATCCTTAATATAAGAGCTAGTTAACTGATTTGAGTAAATTAAAAAAGCTAGTTAAATTAGTTATTTATAATAAGTAAATATTGTCTTTCCTAAATATCTTTACTAATTAAGTGTATTGGCTAGAATTACAATTATTACAAGGATTATCTTGAAAAAAATGAAACAATAAAAGACAAAGTGGATTGTGATTTTATATTTAGAACTAAAATAAAAGTCAAACAAACTTTATATTAAGAACAAGAGGTAGTATTATATTGTGAATTTAGCTCTCTACTTGAATCTAATGGTTGGCTTAGCTCGTAATATTTATTGGTTGCCGATTTATTTGTAAGACTAACTCTCACTTTGAACACAATAAAAGTTTTCAAATTCTATTTTGTCAAATACTTGAATTGTTTTCTCAAAAATTAACGAAAGCAGAAGCACGTACGACACCTTTCCACGAAAATTGCGTAAGTGACAAAATAAACAAAATATTTGAACAAATAAATTAAAATGAGGGAATATTTTTTTGTGGCCAATTATTATTTTGGTGGGAGAAAATGGAAATATTGTGGGTGTTGAGTGGAAGGCAATTCTAATGTCAATTTATGAGTAGACAAATTTAAATTGAGAAATGAAGAATGCCGCACATGGAGAGATCCCACCATTATGTATGAGTGCCGTGACCATTACATATCATCCATCATCATTTCCCACGAACCTTCACACAGCCACATTCATTCATCTCATTCCAACCTTCCATCATGCATCCCACCATTTATTTCACTCCTTTTTTTCCCCACAAAAATAAAATAAGTTGCTAGACACTCAGAAACCACATCAATTGGAGTCAGCTAAACAAGCTAGACCACAAAAACTATAAATTTCTCCCAATCAGCTTTCAATAAAAAGTTTCTGTTGCCACTTGTGAAATGCCAACACTAACTAAAGATCCTAGCTTCCAATCTCAAGAATCTTTTTGGCCACAATAAGGTGGATGGTGGGAAAATTATATTATCCAAGCCGAGAAATTTGATCAAATGAGAATAGAAGATAAATGCGATGATGTAGGAGAAGATGCAATGTATATGTGTGCTCAAAATATATAGAGAAATGGTCATACAATTGAATATATGTGACATCATTTGGAAGCTACCATGTATTAATTAATTAAAGAGAAATGTTTGGTTTGAACCTATAAGGCTCCCCCCCCCCCAAAAAAAAGAAAATGGGAGTGTTGGATGGTTGCCGAATCCTCCCCAAGTTTGGTGCATTTTTTCAACATAAAGACAATAAGAAATATAATATATAAAATCCTAGGAAAAATAGCAAATAAAGACCCCTTTATATATGAAATTGTGATTTGGGACTTTTAATTTGAAAAATAGCAAATAAATGCCCGGTTTCATATTGCAAATATAAAATTTTGGTGAAATGTTTAAAATGCACCTCAGCCAAATTGTGATTTGGTCTACTGAAGTTATCATTTGCTAAAGTGAGCTTGTCATTTCTTATAGTCAACTTGTTACTTGGCCTAGGAGTATTTCAGACATTTCACCAAAATTTCATATTTATAATATGAGACCGGGTCTTTATTTGCTATTTTTCAAATTGAGGATCTCAAATTATAATTTTACATATTATGATGTCTTTATTTGCTATTTTTCAAATTGAGAGTCCCAAATCATAATTTTACATATTATGAGGTTTTTGTTTGTCATTTTCTCAAAATCCTATTATCGTCAGTGGAATTGGGAACGGCAATTTGAACGGTGGCGATCCCAACAAGATGAGTTTTCACTTTCAAAAGGTGTATGATTGCATGAATCATCCAGACGAAAGCGACTCCATGTCTCCTTCCCCTTTAAATATACGGCTTG